AGCAATTGCTGCTCAGCAGAACTGCTCAGAGCAGGAAACCATCTCTGCCCAAGAGCTGCACACAAAATCAGGCTCTGAAAGCACTGGTACTGAGACCCAGACTGAGGAGAGTAAAATTGCTGAAGTGTGAAATCCTTTTGGAATTAGTCAACACTCTCACTGGAAACTGGTCTCAGCAGCTGGGTGTGCATCCTCAGATACATATTTTACCAGCCTTTAAGCAGTAAACACTCCCTGGGCCCAGCAAGCAGCATTGTGTAAACAGCCTGTTTTGTTGGATTCTGGTTTGTTGCTGTTCAAACCTACAGTCAATCTTCAGTGATTTACTGAAGAGGATTGGGCACACCAGAAATCATTTAATTTCATCATCTCTCCCAAAGGAATTCAATAGTTTACACTACCCATTGTCATGAAAGATGATCTTCGAGTCTGGATTATCCCTGCAGGCAATTACAGTAGGGTGCCTGACCTGTATCTCAGCAGAAAACACACCAAACCAGTGGCGTGGTCCCTGTTTGAAACAGGATAAGCAGTCTAAAGAGGAAAAAAAGATTTATTCCGATGTCTTTGCTGATAACTGTCTTAGATATATCCCATCTCTTCTGCTCCTCAGTACCCCAGGACTAGACACTGTTGCAGAATGTGGAAGCTTTGATGTTTCTGAAAATTAACTGTGCTTTAGAATATTTTTGCTCTAGGTAACATCCTAACTGGCAAGTATTAATTAACTGGCACATCTAGAAGTGCAGGAAGACAGTAGGCTGCTGAAGATGGAAAAGAAAGTGAAGGAAGGGTTAACCAGCCTTTATTTTTGCCAGCAAGTATACGTACTCTGTTCCCCATCCACCCCCATAGAGTATGAAATGCAGCAGATGTTTGGAGAACAGCTCCCCTGATCTATCAGCCTCTATATAAATGAAGGTTGAATTAGGGAAGAAGAAGGCAGAATAATGTTTACCAGAGAAGAGCAAGAAGATTTCCGACACCTGGGCAACTTAATGGTGGCAGATGGCAAAAGCTGAAGGCAAAGAGAGGGAGCGACGTGCACCAGCAGCTGGTGAACAAATGGGGAGGAGAAAGGCCTCTGCTGAAACTGCACAGGAAGATTTTAATACCAGCAGTTCTGTAAGAATGATAGCGTGAATATGCAAAGAGGAGCCTGTGTTTTAACTCAGACAACTATCGTCAAAAGTACCCGATGGATTGTCAGCCAAGGAGATTTTCACAGCAAGAAGCCATCTATTTGCATCAAATACTGTCAGTCTGCAAAGCAGCAACTTCTGGGTCATTTAACAACACTCCAGATGTAGTTATTTTCTCCTAGGCAAGTGGCTCAAAAAGAGCTGTGCAAGAAAAAGGCAGAGTTGGCATATAAAGGGGGACAATCAAGCAGCATGTGGAAGCGATTAGCTAGTCAGTGTGATATAACTCAGTGAAATGAACACTTGGGTGTCCTGTGATTCTCAGCACAAAGGAGACTGCAAGACTGTGGCCAAACACAGGGTTGCATTCACACAGGTGCTGCCTGCTCCACCTCAAGAAAAAAAAAGGGAAACCAGACAGGGCTGCAAATATAGGGACTGACATCAATGGTCTTTCTTGATAATTCTTTCATTTAAAAGGCAGAGGTGGGATTAATGCATGTCAAGATAATTGTTAGGATTTTATCTTCCCCCATGCTGGTCTCTTAGGAAATAGCTGCAAAACTTGGTTCTGAGTTCAGGCTTTGCCACACCTGAGAGTATCTAGATGTGTATGAGAGAATTTGGGTCTTTTTGAAGGATCCTTTTTCTTGTTAGTCAGATTTTCACTTACACTGTGATTATACATACTGAACAGAACCTGTTACCTGCCCTGCATATCACATTTGTAGCTCTGCCAGGCTAACACTGCACTGAACACTGACACTCTACAGAGACCCAGCAGGGAAGAGCCATCAACAGATCATTCCTGCAATTCTTTAATGCGCGATTCACACCAAGTATCTATGGATTAGTGAGACTACCTGCTGCTGTTTCAAAAAGACTCAGCAAGTGGGTAGAAGAAATGCTGTCTGATAGGTATGCAACTTCAAAATATATTCATACTGTTCCCAGAGAATTTGTGACCACAGTAGAAGAAAAGGTTAAGTGTAACCTGCAGTTTTAATCATATCATGCACTTCCCTTTGCAATTAGAAATGTGTATTTGTAACTGATAGTTACACTTTCTAGTTACATGTCTATCAATTTCACGTTATAATTAGGATGACTCACAATGAAATTACGCATTATTGCTCTGTTCGTTATATTGTTTGGCTTACAGTCAGCATGCAAACTACAAATCTCCTAAATTCCTCCTGTCCTTCATCCTCCTTGGCCTTCTCCTAAGCAAACACTGGTCAGAAACAAATAGAAGGGCTTTAAATTGTTGTAACTCCTTTGCAAGCAATGGGTTTTGTCAAAGAGGGTCCACTACTGCACAGCTGAGCAGCAATCTCCTCTCCTGCAGAAGTCAATAGGATTTTCTTGATGGAGGGCAGAGTGAAAGCTCATGTGAGCCCTCTGTTTCTCTGGGCAATCCTACTTCCCCAACATCCATACAGTCCAGGAAGACAGAAAATTGCCGTACCCGATCAGATCACAGCTCCATCACTTTGTGTAACTTCTTGCCAGCAAGGAGCAGATTGGTGTGCTGGAAAAACACAACAGCAGTAGAGCCACAGTAAGAAGTAGGGAGTACATGAGCCCCATCACTGATGCCAGCTGCTGTTACTGCTCACTGATCAGAAAAACCCTGAGGAAAGTGGGAGTACCATGGAATATCTCCCTAAGACTGAGCCATGTGGAACTAACTAGCCCCTAAGGATCTTTCTGGTCATTCCTTGTTAGCCTGCACCTCACACTTTGAAGAGTTTATCCCTTCTTCAGTTATCACCCAGTATAAGAATATATCTACCAATGTTCGAATTTCGCAGCTCTCACAGACAGTTATCACCTGTTGGCCACCAGTTATGAGTGACCTAAACTTACTGCAAAGGATTGAAGCCTTTGGGATCACTGTGGCAGAGAGGTCCCCTAGGGAAGGGGGAGTTGGGATAGTCATATCATACATAACTGAGGAACTGTGAGCCTTGGGTGGCAATGATCACCTGCTTTAACCTGTCATTGAACACACTCAAAAGATCATCAGCAAAATCAGCACTCTTAGACCTGGACATCCCCAACATGTCTCTTGAACTGTTGTGTCATCCCACTTACAAATCAAGAGCACAGTGAGACAGAAGTATATTGCTCAGGACAAGAAGAACTTTTCTTATTTTTCCATTTTCTTTTTCTGCCTTAGGGTGAATGTAGTGCACATGAAAGACGCAAGATAGGTGACAGTGAAAAAAATCTTTAAATTATTCAGAAAGCAGGTATTGTTCTGGCAGCCGTGCTAACAGTCAGCATGTAATTGGCCACCCTGAGATTTCATGGCCACAAAATTCAAAATCCCCTTTGCTCTCACCAGTTCTGGGAGAAGCTTAGGCTGCTCATAATACCCCATTGTAAACTGAGAAACAAAACTGGAGCCCTGAGCCCTCCCCTCCAACACACTGACCGTGTAAGTACAGTGGGTCAAACGGCAAGTAGGGGCAGGGGAAGCGCAGAGTGCAAAGGCAGCTCTGGTAGGAGCAGCATTGATTCACGGGCAAATGTCACGCTTGTGGTACCCCTAAATGTCCTCAACAGCATCTATGGCTGACTTGCACTACCAACAAGCTTGCTTTAACTCACAGTTTCAGTGAAGAGCAATGCAGAAGGAGAGACCTGTCACCCCTGCTAGACACACACACTGACATGCTGTTTGGTAAAGCCCTTGGCAGTGGGGACACCTGGTGTGTTGGTGGCAGGATGGGAAGTGGAAAAAAAGAGGGGGTTAAGTTGGCCGCTTCTCCCCCTGAGAACAAGGTAGGACATACCAGCTTGTTCAGCACATTCTTGCGGCCTCCCCTCATGCAAGGGCAGCTTTCACATCGTCTGTAACAGCCATCAGTGCAAAAGACCAACACAAACCTGAACCAGAGCTTCTCCAAGGAGAAAGGTCACAGCCTAACCAGCCCTCAGTGCCCTCAGGTCCCACCTATTCAAAAACCTAATGCAAATCTGCCATTTTTTTAGTGCTATCTCAACCATTTCATTCCCAGAGTGTGAGGGAGCCATAGCTGGGTTTTTCACTGTGATGTGCTTTACTCCTTAATCTCTCCAAACATCATTCATTTCTGAGATGTCTTCATGTGTTGTATTTTCATCTTGAGCCAGGGGCTGTGAACTGGGTGGTACTAAAAAAATCAGGCAGGTGCTGAACTAGCAGCAAAAGTACTAATTCCCCACTTGCTGTCTCCCAGCCTGCCTTGGCACCAGGTTGCCTCTCCAGTCCTCCAGCCATGTACCATTCTGCTGGCAGAGACACATCTGTACTGGTGGCTCTTACTTTTGTCCACTAGGGACCACACTGAGATCAGTAAGACCGAACTGACAGCAGATGTTAACAAGCCCTGATGCGTCTTGACCTGGTCTGGTTACTAGCTGACAACCAAGAAGAAAAAGGCTCCAAAATCTCAGCAGAGCATTAATATCTCTGACCTGGGTTCTGGGGATGTTCCTAGTTTTACTGAAAACAGCAGTGTCCTGTAGCATCCTCTCACCCCTCCTCTTCCCCACAACACAGACACTTCCAATGCTGTGCATCGGTCTCGTTTCTCCTGGCCATCATTATCCCAGGTGCTGTTTACTAAGAAATTTAGATTGCAAGACCCTGCCATCTGCAAAGGGCGTTTTTCCTTTTGGGAAGAGTAGTGTACGTCTGTGGCTCTGTACATACAAACCACAGCACGGTCCATACATGCCCCTCGTTCTCTTTGTGCCACATCTGCCTTTACAGAGTTTCAAGAACTTTCAGCTTCCAATCACTACTTCCACCAACTCCTGCGCCAGCCTCAGCTTGCGGCGGGGGCGGATGCTGCCGGTTCATCTTGCCGTTCGCATCAGTCAGGAGAGCTACGGCACCTTCCGCTCCCGGGAGTGATTTTCTCTTTAGTTTCAAAACAATGTGTGAAACCCTGCTCTGCAGAAACAGTGGCCTCAGTGAGTTTAAGGATGACTGAAGCTATTTACTCTCCCAGGGAGGTTTAAAAACTACGGAGGGATGAATGGGGTTAGACCTATCGCTGCATTGCCAGCAGCCATCCTATTACAGCTCTGAATAAAAGCAGGAATGGCATGTCTAGCCTAGGTTAATAAACCCTACGGAGTGCATGCCTTAAAAGCACTACGAAACAGCCTTAAGTCAGCTGGAGAAAACTAATTTCAAGCATGGCTGTCTAGTGTGCCTGTCATTCCTATTGTCCTTCCAAACTATTTCAGACATTTTGAGCAGGGAGTACTAAGCGATGAGTTAGCAGGGGTTGTGACATTAATGGTCAAAAAAAGGTTTAAGCATCAGGAGGAAACGATGACAGCGCTTAACAACTGGTGGCAGTTCGGAGGATTCCGCTGGATCTCTGTTTAATAATAATTAGGCTTCGCCTCGGAGGAAGATGTGACAACTATCGGAGGTAGGATTTGCATGGGAAACAAAGGGAGTGTTGCTGTTTGGTGCCCGTTGTTTGTGCTTTGCTCCGCGGCTTTCCGAGCGCAGCCAGGTGCAGCCGGCGGCGGCGAGGAGGGGTCGGTGGGATAGGGGGAGAGCCGAGGGTGGAAATACCGGGATAGTTCTGTGTTTTATGGCACAAACGCCTCGAGGACAAACTGGCTCAAATCTCGCTGCCTGCTGAGTGTGCATTCCACGTTGCACTTCCCACGGAGTAAAATACATAGAGGTCATGCAGAAAACACTTTACTCCTTCTCTGCCGAGCCAGCCTGGCTCTGAGATGGGAGAAGGGAGAGGGGGAAGCTGCCCTAAAATAAAAGGGGAAGAGGAAAGCTGTGGAGTCTGTAAGATGAGGGAGACGTGCTGTTAATGTGTAAATTGTGCCTGGAGTGCCACCGATGTCATTTGAAAGGGGGAAAACAACCAAGGCTGGGGGTGGGAGGAATTTTCCGGGTGAGGTTATAACCTATTGCAAAGAAAAGGCGTGATATGTCCATCCATTTTGCATAATCAAAGCTTTCTCTGCACTGTTGTCATTGTTTCGCTGGATAAGAACTGTAGTTTCAGACAGAAAAAGGTATGGTTGCCTCCTGTGTCACTGCCAGCCCCCTGCCAACCTCCTCCCCCCGGGATATCAGTGTGGGGAAGGATATATACGACCTTTAGCTGGATGCTGAAGGGGTTGTGAGCAAGGGCTGAATGAACACGCAGTAGTAGAACAGGAAAGCTTCCCCTTGATAAAGCTTGTTTTGCCCAGCCAGAAGTCCAAGAGGTGACAGGCAAAGTTAGAAGCCTCATGTACTTTTTTTATGATGCGCCTCTTCAGCATCACTAGACAAGAAAATGTCCGAGCATCAAAGATTCGGGTCTGTGTGGCCAAACAGGGCAGTGAGGTCTGCAGGGGGTCCTGGGCAATGCTGGGCTGTGAGTTTGTGTTTTTGTCAGTGCTCCTGACCCTGGCCAGGATGAGCAGCGGGAACTTGATGAATGAAAATCTTATTTCCATGCATATGCAGAGTTCTTATCATTTGGTGTGTTTGATCTGAGTGTGATGTTCCTCGTGTTGATGAATTGTTTCGACTTGTTCATTAAAATTTCATTTTAAACAGCAGAGAGACTTCAGAGTGAGTGGTATTTAGCAACAATAAAATGTTCTGCTTGCAGAAATGCTCCTCACAGGAGCTATTAAAAATGCACTTAAAGAAGCTGATAGTCATATCTTGCAGTAAGAGGTATGGTGTCACTTGCTGTGCTAAATTTTAAAATTAGGGATATGATGCCATTTTAAATCTACTTTAATATAGATTTAAGCATAAGCATACTTTACAATACTGTTGTCAAAAACTCACAACTTCTAGAATTCTGTTAGACTGATTGTTTTCATTAAACCTTCATTACAAAAAAAAAAAAAAAAGAATTCCTATATAGCAGGGACTTACCAAGTAATTTGAATTTACTCACCCTAAGTAATGTTCCCTTTAAGGAGAACTTCAGTGTACTATACTGCATTGTAAATAGGTCATGATATAATTCATTTAATAACAAAACACTGATGACAACAACAAAAGTGCTAAATGCATTCAGTCTAAGTAAATACAGATTGTGCCAAAGAGAAGCAATATTGGATCAGGAATGGTAAGAACTGCTTTTAAGAAACATAAATATTCTCCTTTTGATCCAAGCAACAACTTTTCGCTCAACTGCATTACTTTGCATTGCAAATTTTAGAGGAAGATCATTTCAACCTGTGTTACATACACTACTGAGTACATAATGATAACAGTGAAAACTTTCTTCCAAATAAATTGTTCTAGCGGTTTGCAGTATGAATCAAAGAGACATTATGCAAAGATATTAAATCTGTGTCAGAAATGAGCAAACCATGTAAAAATCAAGTACATGGTTTTTCTTCACATCACTTTTGTCCAGAGGCTTAGACAATTTTACTTTGTTTTACTTCAGTGCCTTTCTGAGGGAAGGGTCTGAAAAGGTAAAACCACAAGGAGGTGGAAGATTGTGCTCAATCTGTGCCCAGCCACAGACTTCTCAGGGGGACTTGGGCAAATTCCCCAAGCTCTTTGTGGCAGGGGAAGGGGAATAGCCCTGCCTTGTAAATAAGAAGAAGAATAGTGTGGTAATGATGCAATGAAAATACTGACTTGTGGTGCTCAGGGAATGAGGCTGAACACAGAGTTCCAGATAAGGCAAAATGCAGAAGGAGGTTAATATTTCAGGCATTTTCAACCATAAAATAAGACATAACACAAATCCCATGATCCAAAACTAAATGTGCTCTCAAAACTATCCCAGACAAATTTGCCACTTTCAAAAACTTCTGCCAGCAGCAAATACCCATTTGTCTGAGAGCCTGTCAGAAGTGACTCCAAATCTCTCATCATTCCATCAATGTACAGCAGATAGTGAAGCAAACTACATCAGATTGATTCACTGTGCTGAGGAACGATTTCCCTGTATTCTTCAGAAGCTCAAATGAGTACTTTTTGCCATGAATCTCACTTGCCTTTTCTGCTTATGAATTGTCTGTGGAGGTCATGCAATTTTCTCATTTATTTATCTGATATTATTTGGGGCTTTCTTCTGCAAATAACTTTTGGCCTACAGATCTTTTGGGAATGGCAAATGTTTGCAAATTCATGCTGCATTGCTTGGTTCAGTCCTGTGGTGTTCCTTGATTAGCTGATTTGTATAGCTAACTGGCACAAAATGAATTGCAAATTTCAAAACCAAGTATAGGGTTTCATACTGGATTTCCATCACACTCTGAGCAGTCAGGTTTAAAATTCATGTCTTGCAAGTAGTCATAGGAGCAACACATAAGCACTGAAGTGCTCCCACCAGACAGATGTGAGAGCCAGGTTAAACAGCTTTCAATTTCTTATGAATATTCATGAAAAGTGTTTGAATTCCTGCAGCTCTGTTAAAATGAATAGTCGGCATCATCCATCAAGCACTGCATGGGCCATTCTTTCACAGCATTTGCCATGTCCCCACAGTCTCCACAACTCTCCTGTGCAGGTCCACAGTGCCTGTGGAAACTATTTGTGCAGCCAATTTAGAAGGGAAAAACACCAGAATGGAAACTTCTAAATTTTCCAGATTGTAGCCTCTCCTGTTGTGCCTGTCTTGCACGTTGTGTGACATGAAGACAGCCAACAGGGAGGACAGCAAGAGAGAATCAACAGTGATACAGGAGAGAAAACACTGAAAGAGGGGGAAAACAAGGATGACCACTGGCAAAGGGGGATCAGCAGCATGTGTAGCAGGTACATAGGGATGGGCACAGCAGGAACACATAACACACAAGTACAGTTTTAAACAATGAATCTAGCGAATTTGGGTCATTGATTTCAAGGTTTATGGTCTTATCAGCCTCAGCCCATAGCAAGCCCTGGAGCTGTTGCCCCCAATCCCTCCCTGTGCAGGTGCTACGTGGGTGCTCACCACAAGTCCAACCAAGCAAGGGCACACTGTGGTTTAGCTTTTGTCATGTAGGGGTCTGATGACATACCACAGAGTTATGGAAGAGTTGTGAAAATAACAGACAAGAAGAAAACTAGCCAAGTAACTAATCTGATGCATGTTTTAAATGAAGTGAAAACCAGTAGGGCGAAGAATTCCTGTCAAACTTTTTTTTTTTTTCATGGGCACAAAAAAAATTCAGCTGTCAAAACACCAAAGCTCTTTTGACTCTGAAACAAATGAGGGAGAAAAGGTTATAAAACATGAATACATTTGCCTTTTGAATTATTTTTGCACTGTACTTATGCCGTATCAGAGGAAACCTCAGGTCTCCCACTGAGCTCTATTGTCCAAATGCTCTATACAGAAAGTCTGGTGTGTGCTGAATCAACAGGGTTGCTGTCACAGCACAGACCCAATCAACAGTCATGCCCCCATTATGTGGACATTTTTTAGCTTTTCAATGAATTTAAAGTCCACTGATCCTATATACCCTTATTTATTCTAAAAATAGAAATGGGCCTGAATTGCAAGTGCTCACTGTGTGAGTCACACAGTGAGAGTCACTGTGGGCAACACACGTGCGTTCACATTCTACCAGGGCACATGTAACCACGTTAATACTGCCTGGGGAGAGTAAGAGAATGAGGAGAATTAGAGGAACTAAAACCAGAGCAAATACAGAGGATCTTTGCTAGGACAAAAATTGACTCAGTGTAGTCTGGAATGAAATCCTAACTTGAAACTCTTTCTAGATACTGCTATAACTCATATGAGGTCTTCTGATACCTTTTCTTTCTTAATTATAAAGCTGTCCTGTTACCCATTAACTAACCTCCATCTCTGCTTGTGCCAAATGGGATGCCCCAGCCAGTCCCAGGTACCCAGCAATTTTGCCTAAATTCAGTGTTCCTCCCACTCTGCGTGTCCTAAATCGACCACTGCCAGAAGGGTTTTGAAGACCAGAGCAGCCAAAAGAGCATTTGTCCCAATTCCCCACTTCTCTTTTAGAGGAGTAGAGCTCAGAGTGGGACTGAAGTTTCTGCTTTTAAGCCCAAAGTGGTTCATCTATCCAAGGTAGCCATCCTGGTGGGAGCCCTCCACATAGTACTGTCCTTGCGTGCCTGCTTAGGCGTGGTACCAAAGAAGGGACAAAATAACTCTGCCTGCCTTGAAGAAGTGTTGCAGAAAACATTCAATATACTTGGCTGTGTTTTACTCATGGACAAGCTATTTTCCACCTCAGCAGAGTGGTACTCCTTACTGACAACCATTAGTTATTTGCAATTTTAGATAGGCCTTATAAACGTCAGGCACCTGAGTGAATAAATAATATTTCAGCGCAGTAACTTGAAATAAGTCAAACTAGAAATGGTGAGAAGACCTGGAGCATGGTCCCGTTGGGACTCCCTACCACTTCTAATTAATATCTGCTACTTAAAGCATCACAGCCCACGGTTAAATCAAAGTCAGAGGGAATAAAG